AGAAATAAAAGACATGAAATATTTAAGAATGTCAATGTTAGCATTTGCTCTGATGATCAGTTACTATGCATGCTAGTGAAACATTTTCCCCGTCCATACTTTCCCCACTTCAGACAAAATATATTAGTGATTTATTTAAATAGTCTCCCAACTTCTCCAAGAATCTTTTTAAGTGTTGATATATCAGGGTTTTGTCCTTTGGCGTAAGAGAAAATAACACTAAAGAGAAAAGCAATTTAACTAAAAGCAGAGATCTTAACACAATAACTAATTGATTTGGAATCAGATTTCCTCTGTTTGTTTTTATGGGAGGCATAGAGTTGTATTTCCTTCATAGAAACAAGTAAAAGAATTGGATTAAAAATGTCAAAATAACAGGAAGTGAATAGCTAGTGTTTATATTTTTCAAAAGATCTGGCTTTCCAGTCCCTAAAAATAGAAAATGTAAGACACATGCAAGGAAAACTGCAGCATTGAAGACCGGATTAAACTCATACATTTCTGAAAACTTGGTTCACTTTTACCTCCCCCCACCACGCCATTGTATAAATATTTTCTTTTCAACTCTTTCTCAAGTAATCCCTGTAATGTCACAACTTTAAATCATCCTCCAAGCTCTATTTTTCATTTTTTACTTCTCTATGCTCTCTCAGCTTTGTATCTTTCATCTAAATTATTTTTAAAATACTAGGAAATGTGTGGATTCCTAGAATTGGGTTTCATCACTGCCTGTTGGACACCGAGTATGCTTTCTTAAATTACATCAAGGGGAGAGCATACTGGTACCTACCAGTTATTGCCACAGGTCATCGCATTTTTCATACTTCTCAGTGACAGTACAACATAAATATATCACTATAACAACATCAGAATGGTGAAGCGGACCCCGTCAACTCAGAGTCAGAATCGGAAAACCTGGGGTAAATCTGTTCCTTGGGAAGTCACTCAGACGCATATCTTCACTTACTACAAGGAGACGTTTCTAAGCCTTAATGATGATCAGTGGTTGCTATGAGAATACTTTTGTAGTTGTTTATAGTCTGGGGTGTCATAGCCTGTCCTGCACAATGTGCTCATCGCTAGCCAGATGGAGCTATTGAGCCCTTGAAACAAGAGTAGTCTGAATTGAGATGTATTGTTAAGTGTAAATTAGGCACAGGAAGGAAAAGAAAATGTAAATAGCTTGCTCATTAATAATGTCATATTGATGACATTTTGGAATGATAACATTTTTAATAAATTGTGTTAAGTAAAATATATTATTAAAATTAATTTCACATCGATTTTTAAACTTTTTCATGTAACTTAAATTGTAAATGTTGCTTGAATAATATTTCTCATGAACAGCTGTTTCTAGAGCATCCAAAAACACTGAAGTTTTCTTCTTCATGGATATCGTACAGAAATATAAAACTATGTTTCGATTTTTAAAATATCTTAAGTGTGCATTGGGTAATATTTCTGTCTCCACAGAGGCTTCCTATCTATACTTCTAAGATGATTACTGACAACATTATTTACAAATACATGCTTGAAACATGCATTCTATTGATAGTGGAAATACACATCGAAGTAGTCATGCCTGCCATTCAAATATAACTGAGCAGGACATGTTCATACTCACGCAGCCACATGATGCAGGGAGGTGATGCAGGAGGGGTCCCCCCAAAATGCAATATACATCAGCCAAGACTCCAGATGGGCCTGCCCTCTCTCTCCTCCCGAGTCACCGTACACCTCCCTTCTAGACTCTTTCCATCAGCCAATGGGCACACTGTATGGAACACTTTCAGCCTTAAAAAATCGCCTTGATCCCCATCTGGGGCCATCCCATTTCTCTTGCATTTTTATAATAAATGTCTCTGAGTTGTTTTCACTCATCCCATTCTCTCTTGACCTCAGTCTATCTCTCAGGATGCACGGCTGCAAAAACAATCAGTGACATCTACATTGCTAAAGCTAATGTCTTTCCAGACTACTCAGTAGCATTTTCTGTAATTGGCTATTCCACCTTCTTAGGAGCAAGCATTCACCTGGCGTCCAAGAGGCCCTTTGCTCATGGGCCTCCCCCTGGCTTGCTGACCGCTACTGATCCTACGGGTCGGCCTCCAGCACCTGACCCTAAACGCCTCCTCTCTTCCCTGTGGTCACACTTCGAAATGCATCCAGTCCTTTGTTCTCAGAGCCACCTGTTTGCTCATGAGTTCTCCCATCTGAGATCTTCCATGAGCACTGGATGCTTGTATCCAGCTGCCAATGTAACGTTTCCACTTCAGTTCGTAACTGGCAACTCAAATTTGACATGTCGGAAAACAAATTCTTACACAAGGCCCCTCCCATCTAAACTGCTCCTCCCACTGTTTTCCCTCCATCAGTAAATGGCTATTTCATTTTTCTAGTTGCTTGGATCAAGCCTGAAAATCATCCTTGAGACCACTGTTTTCACACTGCACATCCCTGGTGTTGGGAATACCATCAGCTCTGGCAGGAAAAGGTGAACTAGATTTAAAGTCTCATCAGCTTCATCTCCAGTATTTACTCTAAAACCGCCTTATCTTTTGCCTGGACTATCATACTTTAAATGGTCCTCCTGCTTCTGCCTTTTCTCTTCTTCAAGTATTCTTTCTAACATAGCCAGAGTGATCCTTGTAAAACTCAACTTACCATGTTACTTCTAGGATCAAAACACCCACATCACTTTCTATCAGACTCAGGATGAAAATAAAAGGAATGACTGTGTCCTAGGAGGTTCTAAGATTTCTGAACCTGCAGTTCAAACAGTTGGTGTGTGGGGAAAATTTTAAGTAAAATTATCTTGAAACTGAAGCTGGATTAACTTTGCAGCAGACCTGTCTCTGCCTTGCTCACTCCTTGAACCTTCCAGCCTCTGGACACAGCTTGGAGAGACAACACGGTCTCCCTCCGGTCTTCCCCCCGCCTACAACACTCCTCCTGGTAGTCTTACTGCCTTCAGACTGACAGAGGGGACTTCTCTGATTATATCACAATGACACACAGTCTCCATTCCCTCCTTATCGGCCTTCTCCTTCTTTAAGCACTGATCGTTAATGAATGCATAACGTAGAACTCAGATATTCTGTTGCTTCTCTGGCTGGAATTTCTGCCTGATGAAAGCAGGACCTTTCAGTTTTGTTGGTGTCTCTGTTGTCACTGCCAGAACAGTGTCGGGGACACAGCAGGACTTTACCGCTGAACGGATAAGCCTGCAAGGAAACAATGACTTAGAGCTCACCTTTTTCTCCAAAAGGGATGACGAGTTCTACTAAATAAGTCAGACTCCTCTAAAGAAGGTGACTTTCAATAAGTAGATGCGGACAGACTTTTAAAATCACCCTAGAAAAAGATTTCAGTGAGTTTAACTTCCGTTTTGTGATGAGGAACGGGATTCTTCCATATATCTACATTACACACATGCACGCACACGCAGTGAATCTGTATCTACAAAAGACAAATATTTACACTTTCTAGGCCACCAATGTTTTTGAAACAGTGTAAAAATGGGTGGGGATTAGAGAGGAAAAAACCATGTGTACCCTTTCCACAAGAGAGCCAGGGGTGTTGTGAGACCGAGAAGTTAGGAGGGGGATGGGCCTCTGCATTATTTCAACTTCTGATACCATTTCTGACAAACATCTAGGTTTCTGGAATGTACTGTTTTCGTTCATTTAGATAGATGAACATGCTACTGAATAATATGACTTAGAGCGCAGCGTGGACCCGGAAGCCCACCTCGAGTGACCAGCTGAAGGTAAGACCCAGAGGCAGAACGTCACTGTCCCTGGCCCAGGCCCTGGCTCTCTGTGAGGTCGAACCTGCCTCTGTGGTAGCGCACCTGCTTTAACTCTGTAAATGCTGAACTTTCTCCCAGCAACCTGCACTATTAGGTCACATTTACTGTAGCCACACATCAAAGTTGAGAAGACAGCACCTACGTTCACATAGCATCAACATCTTTAGAATCCGTTATAACATGGGATAGTTGCCACCCATGTCTTCAACCCACACGATCATACGTTTTGTAAGTTAGGCCTGGTCATGAACAAAAGAACAGAGAGGCTTGCACAGCATTGGAGAATGTGATGGGAGGGACCGTAAGGAGCCTGTCTGTGACCCAATCAGTCTCGCCATTGGCTATGCCCACAAGAAGGTTCTGAACTAAAGATGAAGAGAAGCGTGCCTGAGCCTTAGCAAATAAATCCGCGTGATTACTCTACTCCTAATCAGGAACAGCTTATAGAGAGAACCTTCTGGAACAACATCAAACTCCACAGACTGCCTGGCACTTCCACATTTCCCTCCTCTCCGTTCCTACCAAGGGTTATCCCACCGAGCACTCATAATTCTCCCGCTTCATTTTTAAGTTATATTTTCATCTCACCCAGAAGATGAGCCAAGAAGACAGAAACCCACGAATACACACTGACTAATAAAGCCATTTCATCTCTCAGGGCCATCATAAATTCAACCTTTGACATATGCCTTCATAATCCTAAAGTCACTAAAGAAGGAAATGAAAAATTGTAGGAAAACCTCTCGAAACTATTTCCACGTGAAAACTGGTCTAAATTTGTCTCAGACTTTTCTTCATTGGAATATTTCCTCTTTACCTGCCATGACATTTCTAAATGGTTGCTGCAGCTTAGAAATGTGCTCATCGGCCAGTGACTGATAGGCTCACTTCTATTTTTGAAGTTTTAACTACAAATTAAAAGCAGACATTATGATAAGATACCCGTTGTAGGTTCTGCAACGGTCATATGTTTTGTGCTCAGCACTAGCCGCATCTCTCATTTAGCTATCAAAAAGAAAATACTTCTCTCAGAGATTTAACATCAAATAGCTTCTGATCTTTGCTACACATAATAGCAGTTGTTAGCAAACATCATTAAATATAAATCACTCAGATAACATTTAAATACATACTAATATTAATAATCCTCTGCAAAGCTATGACTTCAGCAGAATGCCCTTGAACACACCACAACCACCTTCTTTTTGATGGGTTGCCTTCCTCCCATGAAACATCCACTTCTCCTTCTCTTAAGTGAGGTCTCTAACTCCCAGGCAAGCACACCTGGGCACTGAGGACAAGAACTGAGTGCACAAGAGGCCCTCCGTGAAATCCGATCTTGGGATACAACCTAGACCTGTTTAATGAAAATAAAATGCTGTGAGGTCAGTCATCAAAGTATTTAAAAGGACAACTGCACTTACTGATTGAGTAACAATAAATTTCAAAAGATGAATTTTACACTTGAACTCTCCTTATCCATTTGGGGGTATGGCAAAAAGGCATTACCCCAGAGAAACCCAGCCAACGGGCAGTAAGCTTCCAAAGCAGCAGAGAGCACATTTCTAAAATGACAGCAAAGGCATCATTTTATATATCATATAAACATAGAAGTATCATCAAGTCATGAAAATCAATGATTGTAACCTGAGGTGGTTTAACTGAAAAGGGATAAAAAGAAATTGAATACTATTCCAGATACAAGCTCTATTGTATTTAGAGAAAAAGTAGTATGTTTAAGGTTTGGATATATGAGGGAAAAGTGTTAGTAAATAAGTTCTATTCTTTTTCTTATGGATATACTGTACTAGACACTATCTATTAGTAAAATAAATTTTATGTATGCTCTCCACTTAATAAAATAAAATTTTGGATGGCACCTTCCTTTGCTAATATTGAGTCCATAATTTTAAGAAGGTGTGGTCACTAAGCATTCATTCCTATCATACACATCACATAAACAAAGGAAAGCTAAAGTGTTCCCAATATTATTTCCAATGACCTCATGTATTTCATTTGTGCATAACTAATATTCAGTGAAAATCCATGATGCTATTTCCTCTGAGAAATCAAAAGATATCTCTTCAAATACCATATTCGAGAAAGAAACGAGCATGAGAGCTGATTATGGGACCACCAATTTAAGTGTAAGAACTGCTTATTTTCAGTATCGGTTCCTTTTTCCTTTCCCCAAAGGAGAGTGGAAGCACCTGAGAGACTTGGGATGAGCATGGACTTGCAGACGTCAGGGGCTGCTGTCTGGCCTGTGTTTTCCCAGCCTCCTCCCTGCGCTTTCTTACACCACCGCCAACGCCCATTCCAAACCATCCTGCTTAACTCCTGCCAGACTGACATTCCAAAAATACCAGCGCAGCATAGTGGAAATAGCTCTGGAGCCAGACAGACGTGGCTCGGAACCCCGGCCCCAGCACTTGCGCTCTCTGTGGCTTTACATAAATCATCGATCGTGTCCAAACGTCGGATTCCTTCCTATGTAAAATGAGGGTGATATGTAAAATGAAGGTCGTTTTACTGCACAGCTTTCAAAATTGTAGATGTGTATGTAAATTACCTCACATATAGAAAACATGTGTGTTGGCAGGATAATGATGGCGAAGATGATGGTGAAGAAGATGATGATGGAGGAGGAGAAAGAGGGAACAAAGACTCTCTCTCTTCAGGAATTTGCCATCACCTCACTGTATAGAGAAGGGCAAAGTTACTCTGCACAAATTTCTAGACGTTCCACAACTTCACCCCACTCTCTCTATGGAGCACGGTGTCTGCGACCCACAAAGGTGTATTTTTATCTACTCCAATGAGGCAAACTGCCCCCCCTTCTCTGCTCTATATTAATTCATGCCTTAAACTCCGGGGTCCGACTACTTTGCCAAAGTAAAAGAATCTCTCTGCTTCTCAGAAACTATCCAGTCCCATGGATTTCATGTGACTCCGCACAGAAAGCCAGGCTTTTATTTCCAGGTTTCTCTAAAATCTTGCTAAAAAGGAAATTTTGGAAGGTTCTGGCATTTTGGCAGAATTCAGTTGGCCTTGTAATACCAGCATCAGAGATAGGAAACATCTTTAACTAGAAGTGGCCTGAGATGATTTTCAATTTTAAAGAATGGTTGTTATTCTATCTGTGGCTCTAATAATGAGATGAAACCCTCATAAATTTCAAAGCCGCACCCGTAATGAGGCACCAAGAAGCTATGTTCCAGTGATCCAGCGATTTCTGAATCCAATGAAAACAAAGGAAGAATGCAAAAGAGAGACCATTAAATGATCTGTTATTTCACGAGAAAACTATTTTTCACATTTTGATAAAAACAATTCACATAAAGCATTTTTAGATATCATTCAAATAGACCTACTGGTGTTTCAGATCAGATTTCAAAATCACACAAAACTTATACACATATTGTATCACTAGCTTTTCAATATATCTTTTCAGTCAAATGCTTATGTAAAATATGGATAAAAGTCAGAATTTAAGAATGTTTCATATATATGTAAGGATATTTGACAACAAAATGATTAACAGCAAAACATTTAATCAAATGTCATAACGATATCCCATCCTAATAAAAATATTAGCAAAAATATATTCGCATGATTCACAGAAAAACAAGAGTTGATATAAAGGAGAATATCAAGAAATATGTATATTTCAATGCCATGTTACTTAAATGTTTTAATTATATTTTTAAAAATATATCCCTTATATTTCTATGTAACAGACTTACCAACTCAACATTTATTTCATAATTTATCTTTGCAAACATAGGCAAATACCTCACGATGGTTTCCAGAGATTCAGTTCTGTAATTAGTCTCTACATAGTTAAGCATCCATTTCTTTTTTTATGAACAGGATTTCATTCTTTTATTCTATTTCTCTATTTTCTCCACACTGCTGAGGCAACTTAAATAAAGGAATCAATCAATACTAATGCTAAGTTTGAAGTACGCTTTTCTGTTAACAATGACAGGAGTTCAGCAGGAAGACTAGCAAAATGGAAATAGCTCTAAGCTCATTAGCATAAAATATGAAGGTTTACATAACAATTTTATTTTTTTATTCTAAGAATATAGATTACTTTAAACACATTAACCCACATCCACTGGGAACTACAAAGTCAAGTTTTAATGTCAACATGTTCTATTACTGTCCAAATTTAGAGTTGAGATTCTTACCTGAGTTCTGTTTAGTACACAGTTATTTTTTAAAGAGCGGAAATGTATGACAAGCTGTCAGGATAAATAATACCAACAGTAGGAGAGGGGAGGAGGTTGGGAAGAAATCAAGCCCCCTTTAAGAAGAAACCCCAAGTCCCTCTGTTTCCCAGACCTACAGTAGTTTTGTTCTGCATCTCACAAGCAACTGCCCTTCCTTTTGCTCAGAGAACAACACACACTCTGCCCCAGCAGGAAAATATAAAAATTAAATAGAAAACCACAAGGTTATTAAGCATCTTACCCTCTGGGCTTGCGGGCTGCTGTAGCGGCTCAGTGTTACAGACACGTGTAAACAACAGAATTTCCTGCATCCCTTTCCCATCTGCATGGCTCTGGGGGCCTGGCCAACGGGATTATTTCCAGCATTAAGGCCACTCCACACTAACTTGAAAAAGATCCCCATTGGTTGTGAAGCTTTATCAAAACCAATACCACAACACCCTCGGTGGATCACAGAGAGCTAACCAAAATGAAGTCATTTCAGGGTTCCCTAACTGTGAGGATGGTTATCCAACACCGTCCACACAACCCTCTTGCAACTAAGTTCTGTGAATGAAAAGGGGAGAAAACACTCACCCCTTCATCCACAAGTTTGTTTAATGTTTAATGACAACAGTTATAGCTTGTAGTAGAAAAAAGTACAGTAAAATGACAGAAGAAGGTGTCTAACTGCCAAGATTACAAGAACAAAAGGAAATAACATTGGTCTAATCTGATTTTTATTAGTTGCTCCCCCGCAAAAAAAGAAAAAAAAATGAATAAAATACTTGCAGATACAAATCATGATATAAAAGCTGTCGGTCAGAAGCTTTCGCTTCAGTCATGTTGGCAGGATTGGGAGGGGCTGTCCCCGGGGGCCCCAGCAAGAGCTCCCGGCCCCCTTCCCTGGTGGGGAGGGGCAGAGAAAAAACTGAGTGACTTTCCAGTGACATAACACAGCCACCAGAAAGCAACCTGGTAGAGCCATGGGAGACCACAGAAAGGAACAGGACAGACCGCCCCAAGGAAAAGGGGGCTGAGGAAACACGATCGCTCTGCTCCTTATAAATAAGAAGCAGGAAAACAGTGCTGCAAAGCAGGGAGTTAGCGCCTTCAAATTATTTTAGTCTTCCTCCTTCTTAATTTAGGGGATTATTGTCAGCGTCAGCGTCAGCGGAATCACATTTGTCATCGCTTTCTATTTAACCCCATCCTTGCCCCCTGCCTTCCTGATGCGGAAGAGAGGGTGACCATTCTGTAGGAAGCCAGCTCACCTGCTAAGGTTTCCTTCCCCCCGGGGAACCACCCCCCATCTTCTCAGGGAACATGCTCAGCCACCATTCTCTCTCCCCTTTCTTTGAACTCTCGCTTTTTTCTGGATTTTCCCCTGATACTTTACACGCAACAGTTCTTCAGTCAATTTCACATCTGCCAATGGATTTCCCTTCCCATTCAGCTGTTGTCCTCGAAGGTACCATGCTGCTCCCCCTCAGGGTCAAATGGTCGCGGGAGGTCGCGGTAGCCCGGAGTCCCATTGAACCACCACCTCCTCCCTGCAATGCACCAAAGGGACTGTCTCTGAGAACACACACGGGCCATCCTTTAAAGTGGATAGACTCCTCTCTCGGTCCTCATTCCCCCGCGGTCTCCTCGGCCTTCCGCGCTGTGCACCAGCCCCCTGGCGCGCAGGCTGTTCTCTTCTTCTCCTCTGTCTGCACAACGCGGTCCGCCTCTTCCTCTCCATCAGGCCAAACCTCTGCCTCCGACCTCGGCGTAGTCTCTTTGCCCTCCAGTCCCCGCGCCGTGCACCTCAGATAGGTTCCCACGGAAATCTACTGTAGTTCTGAATGATGTCATCCATTCTCATGGCTTCAATTATCAGTTGTCTTTTCAGAAGACTCCCATTATTGACGTTTGGATCCAATTCACTTTTGAAGCTTCAACACTGATTGGCACCCGCACGTTAGAAAATGCCGCAGGCATGTCATCAACATATTTAAAGCTGCGATCTTCACCTCTCCTGTGCTGTTTATCTCAGAAA